CTCCATACAGAGAATGAAATGGACAACGATTTGCCTCTACTCATGCTTATCCTTTAACAGCAGTTTAAGATGGTGTGATACATGCACATAATATAAATACAAAACAGACTTCATTCTGTCACCATACTGCAAAGAACCATTCTGCATTTCAACATTTTTGCTTCAGTCAGTGGCACACAGCTTTCAGTTACTAGCCATTAAAATTCACTCTCTGGACAAGACATATGGCAGCGGTGCCGTTCATCACACAGACGAGGCAACTCAGTTCTTAGAAAGCTGATTGTTTTGGGGACTCATTAATTTCTAATTTGCAATAGTATAAACAAAAGCAGTGTTTAAACAATAATAATGAAACAAAATTAAAACAAATATAAATATTCTGTATGAGTGTCTTCATGATGTATTATTATCAAACATTTGCCTAATGATAATTACTAGCAACCTGAGCCATGTAAAAAGGTGTGTAGCTACAGTGTAATGGAAAAGGGCATCGTTAGTAAATCACACAGCTGATCAGAACTGTTTAGAGAAACTAGAGTGAGTGGATAAAACATTTGTGTGAGTATTTGAGTATGTGTGAGTGTCTATGTAGCTGTATCTGTGTAATAATGACAGTATGGGTCGCTGGCTTCCAGTGCTGTGAAGGCGTTTCCATGAGCTCCCGCTGGAGGTCACAGCGACTCCAAAAGCAAAACACATAAATAACAAACACGAATAATCACTATCACTATCCCCAGTTTGCAGCAAATCTGACAGCAACCACACCAAACACAGTGAGGGAGATGTGGGATCTTGGAATTGTGGAGCAAATCAAAGCCAGCACACTCCTTCCTGGGAAGGTCCCTGGGCCTTTGCTATCTGCCTTCAAACCAGTATGATTCATCAGCTGTGTTATGGTTGTTATTGTTGGCTGTGGGAAAGGTTCTTCTCAAAACCCAGAAGTAGAACTGAGATACATGCCTTAGATATCCCCAAACACATGACGTTTATGAGTAGTACTTTTGTTAATCATTTCACTGCAGCATGTGCAGGTAGAGCCCTCTCCGAGGGTGCTTTACATCAACCATACAGGGATGACATTGCTGCTCCAAATCCTGCACCCCAACCCCTCCATCAAACACACAAAGCACTCTCAACGGATCCCACTAACTGTCAGTCACTTTATCTGACCAAGCCTCTCATATCCCACAAACCCAATCATCAGTGATTGTGAGTCGGCAGGTCTATAAAGCCCGGTGTTTACCTCGTCTAGACAGATTGGGGAACTGGCAGCCGTGGGCATCTCAGTGGTATATTGCACCGGGTTTAACAACAGATGAGTGCTCCACTGTCATTTAACACCATAAATCAGCACATCACACATAAAAATCCTACTAGCTTTGGGGTGTTCAGAAACCAAATCATGAATAGCTCTGTGATGGAATTTCCTTTTGATCAAACACATTAGGGTACCTGATTCCTGAGGCTAAACTGTGCAGTGCAGTAAATCATCAAGCCGACAGTTCAGTTTCTATGGTTCCCATGCAATGTGTGTTGGCATGTTGTTTTTCCAAATTCATGAGAAAACCAGAATTGCCATGGATTTGAAGGTGAACTGAAACGTCATTTTAAACATGTTCTGCTGCACACCAAGTAAACATTGCCCTAAGGTGAACACAGCTACACATTCACTCAATTATCTGTGCAAATAAGAATAGTTCTGGCTGTGGGCATAGTGGTCTTCTCTCCAGAAAACAAATATTATTTCCCCACTTTAACTGGCCAAGCACTGACTGCTAGGCTTCTCCTCAGTGTTTCCAGCTGAAACCTCACTCAGACCTCAATTTAACATGGCTCACAAAGATGCCTGGAAAAAATTATGCCACCACACATATTATCATATTAATTACCACAGTGTATTTTTGCTCACCAGGCAGAGAAAGAATCAAAAACTAAATGATCAAAAAAATGAAAATGCCTAACCAGAAGAATTTGTTTACACAGAAGTTAAGATGTAAAATTTAAAAAAAAAAAGTAGAGAAAGAATATTTTCAAAACACCATATTTTGCAAGAGAGGCCTTAGAACAAAGACCTCTTTTCAACATCTTGCACATCTGTTAGAAGAATGATTAACACAATAAATTATGATGGTAGGAATACAAGACTTCTTACACTACAGTGAATAAAGGGTAATGGCACTGTATCTGGGATTCTGCACATGTAGATAAATGCTCTGGGAGCGGGAACGACCTTCTACACAGCTGACTGGAAGGAAGTGGACCTGTTATTGTTATGACCTCAAAGGCTTTGGGTGGTCCACACACACACACACACACACACACACACAAAAAAACAAGGGACAGCAGGAACATGCAAATACAGTATAACTGTGCAAAACACTTTGATACAAACTCTTCAGACACCTGCCATTTCCTTTCCTGTTAAGAGCACACAAATCGCTGCTTGCCCTGACCAATATACGCATGCAGCGCATTCACACACACTTTCATATACAAAAGTAATCTATGGAATGCATTTTTCCACATAACCAATGTAAACTGTTTACAGTAAAAACATCTTCTCATGTAAAGTTACCTAGTAATTGCTCATGTTGCCACAGACACTATATATACACTTAACAGTATGTCTGTAAACACATGTATGCACACGCACATGGAATGTATGCATCAGTTACGGAGTATTTTCTACAGCAGCGTGTCATTGGGTGACGTGAGCTCATGCTGGCAGAGATTCATCATGGCAAGAGTACAACGCAGACCTGTCCAAACATCAACATGTTCAACCTCGCCCAAGATAAGCAGGACGGAGCTAATCTTCACACAAAAGGCACAAAGCTCAGCACATTAGCCCAACAAAATCTGAGAAAACAATAAAGTGTTGCTTTAACCAGGTCGTTTTGAGCCTTTGGTTACTTTTTCTTTTAGGACTTTAAAACCAGGCCCAAAGTGTGTACGGTGGCATGTCGATGATGCACTTAAGAGTTCACATTGCTCCATTTAAAACACAATCCATCAGTGCCCAGCAGAGTGAGACATTACTGTATCCAGTTACCAGGAGTGGAACTCATGACCTGAGAGGACGTAGGTCTCTCACACACATGCAGACAGGAAAACACTCACCCACCCACAGAGAAACTGAAAGAGACATGCTCATACTGACTTTAACAGGCAGTTCCACACCAATTCTGCACACATACAGTGCATGGTACATGCAAACACACATGCACACAGACAAACAAGGGCAATCAGGGGCTGGATGTCAGCCCCAGACAGGAACTGCTCCCAGCATATGTAACACTGCACATAAATCACTACACATATTAGGGTAACGATCCACTGTGAAAGAAATGTGTATTTAAGATACAGTGACCCTTTCAAAGACCACACCACCAGTGGTGGAAGAAGTACCCAGATCCTTTAGTCAAGTAAAAGTAATAAAAATTCTCTGTTACAAGTAAAAGTTCTGTATTCAACCTGTTATTTAAGTAAAAGTGCAAAAGTATTAGCATCAAAACATACTTAAAGTAATAAAAGTAAGTGTATTCATTATGCAGAACGGCACACTTAACATTCCTGTATATCATGATATTGAATTCAAATGTCTGGTGATTCTGGTGATTGTGGGGAGCAGATTCGTGTCACTTTTCTTAGATTTTCAGGAAGAGGATGTGTTATCCAGATAACCAAACAACAAAAAGGTTGAACTGACCTTAGGATGTTTTCATCTCAAAAATTAATTCTGTTCATCAATGAAAACTCCTGAACTATGAATTCTTTCCTTTATTTTACTGCTGATGACATTTCTGCAGGCATCAAAATTAACTTCAGGGACAAACAATTTAAAAATATTTCTGAATGATATGACTTTGGGCAACTCTTTTTTTTTCTTCTAAATAAATCTTGATAACTGGTAAAGAAAATGTTTTCTTAAGATGCTTTATATTTAGCTGGGCACTATTGTTAATACTGTGTTGTACAAACTGTGTGAGAGAGACCTTGAGGCCTGAAGGAAGCAGATCCTGAGATCCGGAAAGTGGAGTTCATATTCTTCAGATTTCCTCCATGTTAATTTAATCAATTATGTATTTACTTCCAATCTGCAGGCTATTTGGTTTTTCACAGGCGAGTAAGTGCATATCACACCTGGTAGCAATTTAGAGATTCAGACTGATTAGCATACAAACAGCTTTCTGGGGGCTAATCATAAAATTTAAAGGTGGAGTTCAAATAGGGATCAGTTACCCATGACAGCATATCAATGATTGTTTCCAAATACTTGCCAAATGGAGCAATACAACATGAATGTTAACATGTCCTCAGTGTTGATAAAACATGCAGAACTGCTGAAAAACAGTTATACTGCAAGTCAGTCATAATCAGTCTATTTCTATAAATAGTTTCATCACATTACTACTATTATGCCTACTGCCACCTAGTGGCTGGGCCTGGCACCCACTAGTGTTAAATATGCATCAGGTTTCTACTGCTTAAAGGTTTAAGGGCTGTGGGCCTGTGCTCACACTGAGTGAAGCTGTCTGCTGTTGAAATTCAACAAGAGCTTCACATAATTACCTGTTGTCCAATCTGAGCAACCTGAATTTGCTAGTGATTTACACTGAGACTGATTTGTAAATAAGCCAACTTTAAATGTAATATGACCCCAACTTGACTAGATGTGTGCACTAACCACTTAACCTTAGTCTCACATAATTTGCATTTGCTTCCGGTGTGTATGTTGGGAAAGGAGAGGGATTTGTTTTCTCCATTCACTGAAGTAATAATCAATAATTTTCGAGTCTAGCCTAATGCCCTCAGATCACAACATAAGCTGAGGGATTTGTTTTCTCCATTCACTGAAATAATAATCAATAATTTTCGAGTCTATCCTAATATCACAACATAAGCGCACATGCATCACTAAAAACACATACAGCAAATATACATGCAAAACAAGTGAACATAATAATTGGTTATTAATACAGGCTTAATTCTGCACTTACTGTTTGAGTTTCTGTATGAGCAGTGCATCTTTCTTCTGTTGCTCTCTGCTGTTTGGTCACACTCTCCTATAAAGGAACAAGAAGAGCAGACACACTCAGACACAGCAGTGATTCACACACCACTGACTCACTAAACCACTCAATGAGTAGTGCCGCCAGACAGAAAAACAAGGGTACACGCATAGATCGGGATGACAATCACACAACCCCAGGAAATAAATAATCACTTAAAATGAACTCTCTTAATCCTAATATCACACATCACTCCATGACAAAGTAAACCACAAAACAGAAGGACTGATTCAGAGCAAGTGCTTCTTGGACACATTTCAACTGTCAAATAAAAACCCTGAATATCACTGACATAACTAACAATGCAACAATCCCAAACAAGGCAAATCAATCAGGAAAATGACAGCTGAACAGCTCCGCTCATCTGTTTCAGCAGTAAGAAATAACATATCACTGTTATGTCACAAAAACGGTTCCTGAGCAACAGCTAATGAAATAAATAGGATTTCCATCTTCAACCTCAGTGTAAAAGCAAAGGATAGGAATGTTCTGGAATGGCGCATAAAGTTGTGATAACCACGGCATGTCACTCAAACTAAAGAAGTCCAAAGAGGGAGCCAGTGAAAACACTGGGGCCTGGAGTGATGACTCTCGCTGTTTACCCTAAATCTTTGCCTGTTCTACCCATTAGGAGAGAAACGCGTGTTCTTAAAAATAGGCTGCAGTTGCTGTTTTCTTTTATTAAAAGATTTACCTCAGAACAGTAACATATCCAGTAAAGCAATAAAGAGCAATACAACAGAAGCCAGCATTTTACATCTCACTACAAGCAGCTACATATGTGATAAAAGTCAGGTCGACTATAGAAAAGACAGCAGGATTCTAAGATTTGAAAATTTGCATACACAGTAACTTGTGAGAGCATGCAGGTTCCTTTGAATCGACTTGGGGTTAAGGAATATAAAAAAGTATGCTCTGCTCCTAGCCTGCAGCGCTGAATGATATATTAATGGAAATGCTGACAGTGACTCATATTACAGCACAGCTAGGCACCCTACCTTAATTCCAAGTGAACTCAGCCCCGCTGGATACTGACTGTGGCTGTGATTTGTTTCTGGTGGAGTTTGATAAAAGAGCCATAAAAGAAAGGAAAATCAAAATCAACAGATTTTTAGTGGTAAATCTGAATCTCAGTCACCTGACACAGCAATGTGACTTGTGGAACTGCAATTAGTGCACACTGTTATTTTTTTCCTTGTTTTTGGAAAGACTTTGGTTAAATAGACTCCGGCCTGACTTGTCAGCAGCGAGGCTCAACTATGAATGGATTCTGGGCACAGATACTGTGTGTAAAATGCCCCTACCTCTACTACACTTGTACAAGCAACCACAGACTGAGCAACCACATCAAGATTTGTAGTGAGTCTGTCTTCTTGTAGTTGTATTTCATCTGTTTTTAGTGTTCATTTTTACTTGTTTTGCATTTCTTTCTGTCTCTCTGTCATTCCTGCATATATTTATAGTCATTTTGCTGTTACTGGGGTCTTTTCTGTCACATATTTGGTCATTTTCTGCCTTTTTTTTAGTGGTTTTGTATCTCTGTAATTGTTTTACATCTATTCATTGGATGACTTTTTATAGTCATTCGATTGATTTTCCAACTGAAAGGCTAACAATTTTAGTCCAGCACACTACACATTTGATATGATGCTCATGTTCATCTGGGGACTCTAAGACATTTCAGTTTCTCAGGATCTCTGATAATCCTGAGAAGAAAGTGGGTAGATGGGTGTCATAGGTGAATAGTTCATTGTTTTTCAGTGTAGTATGTGTAGTATACACATACAGTCATGCGTGATCTTTATGTGACTGTCTACAACATGTTTGTGCACTGAAACAAATAGGTGCTGATTATGTACAACTACTGTGGCCTTGTCATTTATATATCACAGTGGAAAATGTGTCCCCCTCCACAAAATGAGAGCCTTCCAGTCAGACCCTCGAGCCACAACGTCTAATGACAAGAGAACTTGCGTATGCCACAATATAAACACCATTTTTCATAGACTGCTCTGAAAAGGCATTATCTTGTTTCATGCACATGGTTTGAATCAAGGTGAACTGGCTGTGCTCGTTGTTTTCAAAGACCCACGAGCCTCCTTTTTCAGGGTCCATGCACTACACAATGCAACTTCATCACCAAATGCAGAGATGCATCTCTGGAACAGACAGAGGAGACTGGGTTCAGATCAAACATTGACTGCACATGAGGATGCTCTGCAGTACCAGTGCAGAACGACACTCAGAATAGTGAGCCACACAGTTGCTGCCATAAGCCTGTGTGACACTTGGTTCTTATCAAATCACTGGAAATATCATTCTCAGGTTGCCAGGAACTGGGAGGCAGATATTGCCAGAAACCCTATGTTTTTACCCCGTTCACATCAAATATCTTGAACCTCTTTCAGTCAGTTTAGGCAACAGCGTTCACATGCTTGTCTCGGCTGGCTGGGTAATTGCTGAGCATTGTTATCTATGAATCAAGCTGAGTGGAAAGTTCTGGAAAATAATTTCTTCAAGACTGCAAAAAAAGATATATGTGATACTCCCAAGCTTAACTATTTAAGCTAACAAAGTAGTACACATCAAAACAAAAAAGCAATAAATGTTCTGAATTATAAGAGCAAAAGCAGAATTACAATAGCACTGATTGTGGATTATAGCTTGGATAGCCAACACTTCTTTGCACCTCTATGAAACTTAACAGGTGACACTGCACACTTTTGACCTGATTTAGCACCAAAATGCTCAGGAAAGTAATACCGAAACAGAGGTTTGCCACTTGTGATCTTGATTAAGTACCAACCACTTTAAAAAAAAATGTTTTTAACAGAGAAACTAGTGAGGTTCTGACGATCACTCACCACTCTTTGCAGCTGGGTATTTTTGGCTTTGATTAAAATATCTTAAAGCAATTATTTAGGACATGTGTTCATTTCTGTTACATCAACAGTTCATTTATATTTATCTGTACGTTTAAATGTTGTATTCCCTCATATTTTATTAGTTATTTTCTTTTTCATTTTAACTAGTCCTTTAAAAAGGTGATGTAAGATGTATTCTTATTCCTTTATTGAATGTAATGTCTTTGACTGCAATAAACTGTGGACATATGAACCATAACCTGTCTTCAACAACTATCATGTGTGGGGCTTTGCTGAATTCACACGAACAATATCATGACATCAAATATAATGGCTGGGACATCTGCCTCTCAAGGAAGCTAAACACAAATATATAGACTGCTAAATGGAAACATACAGAACATACATATAATACTTTCTGTGTAGATGTTACATACTGTATACATATGGTGCTCTTCAAAATATCTTTCATTAGTATCAGGAAGGCCCAAGCATGTGTCTGCCCAAATCCCTTTCTTTCTTCAGTTTTCAGCGCAGGGGATCTGCAGGGGTGTGTGCTCAGCCCATTGCTCTTCACAGTGCTGACCCACAACTGTGTGCCAACCTACAGCACCAACCACATTGTCAAGTTTGAGGACAACACCACTGTAGTTGTGCCAACTGGTACAGTGGTCTAAGAACAATACCCTCTTCTTCAGTGTGGGAAGACTAAAGAGATCGTTGTGGACTTCAGGAGAAAACCTCTAAAGCATCCACCACTGACCATCGACAGTACTGTAGTGGAGCGAGTGAGCAGTACAGGGTTCCTGGGGGTGCACATCTCTGAGGACCTCTCCTGGACCAACAACACCAGATCACTGGCCAAGAAAGCTCAACCACACCTCTATTTCCTCCAAAAAAAACTGAGGAGAGCCAGTGCACCATCCCCCATCATGCGCTCTTTCTACCGAGGCACCATTGAAAGCATCATCACTGGCTGCATTACTGTGTGGTACAGAGGCTGTACTGCCTCCTGCAGAAAGACCCTGCAACGCATAGTGAAAACAGCCAGCAAGATCATCAGCGCCCCTCTACCTTCCCTTACAGACATGTTTAACACCCTCCTCACCCGCAGAGCCTTCAGCATTGCTGATGACACCTCCCACCCCACACACTCCCACTTCAGACTTCTGCCTTCAGGGAGAAGGTATTTGAGTCTTCAGGCCCACTCCACCAGACTTACAAACAGCTTCATCCACCAGGCTGTGAGGATGCTGAATGCTGTCCATTACCTCCCCCCTCTGCCCCTGGACTGTGACCCACCACAGAACATAAAAAGACCTCTGCTGGTTTGCACAAACTCAGTGCAATTCCCTTTATGTTATACTATATGAAATCTGCTGCTGACTGTTTTTTACCATCATATCTGCTGCTGTTGGTCATTTGCACTACTGTCTATGTACATCTCATAAGCTATTATACATCTCATCACTAATGCCCCTGGTGATGCTGACCACCTAACAATCTTCTTGTTATTATTTGCACTACTGTCACTGATTGTACATGGTTCTTCATAGCCTATTAGGTTGTACCATTTAGTTTTATCCTAATTACTCTAATTTAGTTTTCTTATTCTATTTTTATTCTACTTTTATTCTATTTTAGTTTCTTAAATAGTATGGCATTCAGTATTAGGTGAGAGAGAAACAGTATTTCGATTTTCTGTATGTCCTGCACATATAGCGAATTGGCAATAAAAATCTTTGATCTCTTAATGGTCGTCTTTTGTTAGACAATCTTGGTAGAACAGTTTAGTGGACAACTGAGCAAACCCCACTCTCAGAGGTAATTGCCATTACAAGCCGGCTGGTCCAGCCACTGTTTAACCTGAACAAATACAATGCAGATGCTATGTGTCAAGCCACATATCTGCTCTTTGCTTAGGTGAGGATATGGTTCAGGGATGATTTGTGTTAAGGGTAGGTGGGGCTCTGAAGATTTATCATGGCATTGCCTGACACCCCCCTCTTTGGGGCCAAATAACTCATATACTGAGCTTCCATATGACTGCTCTCCCCTTCTTTGGCAAATTTAACTGCGTATTATTGACTATCCCACTGCCCTACCCCACACACCAGCCTCTTTATCAGC